CAGTCCCTAGAGCCTGGCACTTTGAACTTGGACTTAAAGCCTCCAAACTGTAAGAATAAACTCCTGTTTGTTAAGGCCATCCCATTTGTGGTGTATTCTTGTCAGAGCAGCACTAGGTAACCAGGACACCTTGTTAGTTCAGTGATTCTGTGTATTCCTTCCATCTTCTTTTGATGCTTCCTGCATAGTTCAATATTTTGCCCATAGAATCCTTCAATATCACATCTCAAGACCTGAATTTTTCTTCACTTCTTTCAGTTTGAAAAATGCCAAAGCATGTTCTTTCCTTTTTGTTTTCTAACGCCAGGTCTTTGAACACTTCGTTATAATACTTTGTCTTTTTGAGAAATCTTTTCAGCTCTTTTACTTACTTCATCATTTTTTCCATTTGCTTTACTACTCTGTATTCAAGAATTAGTTTTAGAGTCTCTTGTACCATCCATTTTGGTCTTCTTTCTTTCCTCTTTTTTTAATGACCTTGTGCTTTCTTTGTATATGAGGTCCATGATATCATACCACAACTCATCTGATCTTCAGTCATTGGTGTTCAATGAGTCAAATCTATTCTTTATATGGTCTCTAAATCTATTCTTTATATGGTCATACCAGAACTCGTCTGGTCTTTGGTCATTGGTGTTGAATGAGTCAAATATATTCTTTACATGGTCTCTAAATTCAGGTGGGATATACTCAGGATTATATTTGGGCACTCATGGACTTGTTTTAATTTTCTTCAGCTTCTACTTGAACTTCCATGTGAGCAATTGGTCTGTTCCTTCATTGGCCCCTGGCCTTGCTCTGAGTGGTGATACTGAGCCTTCTGTATCATATCTTTCCACAGATGCAGTCTATTTGACTCCTGCATATTCCATCTGGCGAGTTCCACATTTATATTCACCATTTATACTGAAAAAAGATATTTGGAATGAATAAGTCATTGGTCATGCAAAACTCTGTCATGTGATCTTGTGTCATTTTTATTACCAAGGCCATGTTTTCCAATTACCGATCCTTCTTCATTATTTCCAAGTTTGGCATTCCAATCACCAGTAATTTTCAACACATTTGATTAAATATTCAATTTCTTCCTCTTTGGCGTTAGTGGTGTATAAATTTGAATAACAGTCATATTGCCTTGTGGATATTATCACTAACAGCATTGTACTTCAGGAGAGATGAGGATGTTCTTTTTGATGATGAGTGTAACACCATTCCTCTTTAAGTTATCATTTCCAGCATAGTAGACCCAATGATAGTATGATTCAAAATCAAACAATCAACAGTTTATTTGAGCTTACTAATGGCTAGGATATTGATCTTTATGCATTCCATTTCATTTTTGATGACTTCCAATTTTCCTAGAGTCATACTTCATGCATTCTGCATTCCAGTTATTAATGGATATTTGCAGCTGTTTCTTCTCATTTTGAATTGTGCAAGGAAGTTGTGAAGTTCAGTAAATGAAGTTTTTGAAAGCTTTACTCTATCTACACATTAAGGTCACCTCTACTTTGAGGTTGGAGCTCTGGTGGCACAGTGGTTAAAAGCAATTGGCTGCTAACCAAAACGTCAGCAGTTTGAACCCACTAGCATCTCTGGGAGAAACATGAGGTAATCTGCTTCTGTGGATTTACAGCCTTGGAAACCCTATGGGGCAGTTTTACTCTGTCCTTTGGGATCACTATGAGTCAGAATCAGCTCAGTGGCAATGGATTTAGTTTTTTGTTTTTCTGTTTAGAGGAGGCATTTGTACTTTTGAGTGCCCTCCAGCTAGAGAGGCTCACCTTCTGGCACCATCAGGCAGTGTTCCACTGCTATTCATAATGTTTTCAGTGGCCATCTTTTTTCAGAAATAGACTATCATATCCTTCCTCCGTCTGTCTTAGTCTGGAAGCTCTGCTGAAACGTGTCTGCCGTGGATGACCCTGCTTTTATTTGAAATAATAGTGGCATAACTTCCAGCATCACAGCAATGCATGAGCCACCACAGCACCAAAAACTGACGGACAAGTGGTGGTGAATTTTCATTAGTCCCAGCCTAATCATTTTCAGCCTTGAACATAAGGGTCTACTTTCATTTTCATGACTTAATGAATGCTGGGAGTAAAGTATACTCTTAACTAATACCTGTACTTTCTCATTCTTGGTAAAAAAATCTCGTTTTTCTTTTAAATAGGAAAATATATTTGTTGACCGATCAAGGATGGCTCCGAAGACTCCAATAAAAAATGAACCAATTGATTTATCCAAACAAAAAATCTTCACTCCAGAAAGAAATCCAATTACTCCAGTTAAGCTTGTCGACCGACAACAGGTAGAACCATGGACACCCACAGCTAACCTGAAAATGCTCATTAGTGCAGCCAGCCCTGACATAAGGGACCGGGAGAAGAAAAAGGGACTGTTCAGACCCATCGAAAACAAGGATGTTGCATTTGCAGACTCTCTACAGGTAAACAGGCTGAGATCCTAAGGACTTTTCACTGAATTTTTAAAAATATGTACTTGATAATCAAAAAGGCCCTTAATTCAATGGAAAAACAGTTCACCCTTAGCTTTCCCCAAATCACAATAAAAAGTTTAAAAAAGGGGGGGAAAAAAAAACCCTCTAGAGCACAGTTCTACTCTGACATACATGGGGTCATCATGAGTCAGAATAAAAAAAAAAGTGACTGAATTCTCAAAGTATTTTTCAATTACTATTGAGCCAAAAGTAATAGTAAACTTAATGGCTTTTTAATTTTATAGCTGAAATGGAATATATATTTTGTATTTCCTTTTTCATAATTAATACTTTCTTCTGTTACTCCCTTACCCAGTAGACATTTTAAAATGACAGACTTTTTTTTGTAATGTTGCTGTTGTTGTTATGGTTATGTGCCGTCCAGTTGAACCCGACTCATAGCAACCCCTCCTTGGGTTGCCAAGGCAGTATTAATCACTACGGAAGTAGATTGCCCAACCTTCCTTCCGAGGAGTGGCTGGTGGGTTTGAATCGTCTGCCTTCTGGTTAGCAGTCAAGTGCCTTAGGCACTACACTACCAGAGCTCACTTTTTATGTAATAGTACTTAATAATTTGACTTAATGAAGGAATTTGCTTTGTTTTTTTATGATGTGAATTTTCACTTTGCTCCAGTTTTAAGGGTAGTGTTGTTGCTGTTATATGCCGTCAAGCTGGACCCGACTCATAGAGACCCCTCCTTGGGTTGCCGAGGCAGTATCACTACAGAAGTAGATTGCGCAACCTTCCTTCCAAGGAGTGGCTGGTGGGTTTGAACCGCCAGCCTCCTGGTTAGCAGTCAAGTGCCTTAGGCACTATGCTACCAGAGCTCCCTGTAGAGTCTCAATAATTTTGACATGGAAAATTTCATTCTCACGTATTTGCAGAGTTTTCTTGGCAGGAAGGGGGCTTTATAAAAGTAAAGATATTTTTAAATGACCTGTCCAGTGAGGGAATCAGCTATTGAATAAGGATCTTTAAAAGATACATAATTTTTTAAAAAGTATATTTAAAAAAAAAAAAAAGTCTATTTGACTCTCCTATCAAACTTTTCCCCAGACTTGCTAACACAAAAAGAAGTACTCATAGGTTTGAATCTTACTTCTTTGCCAGTTTTCCTACTTTTGTTGATTTTTCCCCCCTATAAAAATTGTCAAAATGAAAAAAATTAGGGAGAAAACAGTTTAACCCATCTCTGAATTACAGTTGAAATTACAAAAGCAAAATGCAGACACAAACATGAGAATCTAGTTCTCTATTAAACCAGACACTAAAGAACAAATATGCAAAAGAGTGCCACTTTTCTTAGTAAACATTTTTTTACTTTGAAAATGTAGTTACTTTTCATTAAAAATATCTCATATGTTATTTTTAAATATAATTAAGTGTTTTAAAATTAAAATCTCCATTTTAATTTATAATATGGTGAACAGTGATAGATAAAATTCATATAAACAAAAAGCTTTTGGGAGAATTTCTATAATTTTTAAATAAAGGAATTTTAAGACCAAAAGTTTGAGAACTGCTATTCTATAGTGTACATACACCTAGTGGTCCTGCTAGGTCAGTTGATATGCAAGAATGCCAGAATGTTTTCTAAAGTACTGTTTGCTTCCACCAGCAATGTGTACAAATTTATTGATCCACATCATCTCTGATACTTGTCCAATTGATTGATTTCTGCCAGTCTAGTGGGTATACAATTGTATCTTATTTTGTTTATTTACAATCTTTGATTACTCATGAGGTTCATCATCTTTCTTCAAGTTTACTGACCACCGTGTTTCCTCTTCCGTGCAATGCCTGTTCATGTTATTTGCTGATTTCTGTTGGGTTGTTTTTCTCTTTCTGATTGATTGGTAGAAGTTTATTATATATTCTTAAGACTAAACCTTTATCAGTTATACATGTTACGTACATTCTTTCAGTTTGGTGCTTCTCTTTTTACTTTATTGTTTACTGGTAAACAAAGTTCTTAATTTTAACCTAGTCCTATTTATCAATTCTTTCTTCTAAGGCTGGTGCTTTTTATGTATATATAAAGAAACCATTCCCTATTCCAAGGTTAGAAAAATATTTTTGTCATTTAAGATTTGCTTTATAAGTTTAAATCCTTAATCCATTTGGAATTAATTTTATGAATTATGTGAATCAAAGATACTATTTTTTTTTGTGTGTGTGTAGATAATTAGTTGCCCCAACCCCATTTATTCAATAGTTCTTTCTCTGTTCCACAGCTGGCAGTGCTACCCCTGTGACATATCACAGTTTCATTTATGTGTGGGTCTGTTTCTGGACTCTGCTATTGCTCAATTTTCCTGTCCCTACACCAATACTCTATTATAATAAGCCTTGGTGCTAGATAAAGCAATACTCTCACTTTGTTTTCAGAAGGGTCTTGGCTATTAACCCTTGTTTCCCTTATAGACTAAGCTAAGGGAGACAAACTTGTCTGTCAATTTGTCATCTGTGGCAAGAAGAGATGGAAAAGCTCAATATCTTCAGCCAAAACAAGACCAGGGGCTGATTGTGGAACAGACCATCAACTGCTCATATGCAAGTTCAGCTTGAAGTTGAAGACAATTAAAACAAGTCCACAAGAGCCAAAATATGACCTTGAATATATCCGTCCTAAATTTAAAGACCATCTAAAGAATAGATCTGATGCATTGAACACCACTGACTGAAAACCAGAAGAATCGTGGGATGACATAAAGAACATCATCCATGAAGAAAGCAAGAGGTCATTAAAAATATGAGAAAGAAAAGACCAAAATCAATGTCAGAAGAGACTCTGAAACTTGCCCTTGAGCAGAGAGTAGCTAAAGTACATGGAAGAAATGACAAGATAAAAGAGCTGAACAGAAGATTTCAAAGAGCAGCTAGAGCAGACAAAGCCAATTCCTATAATGAAATGTGCAAAGACCTGGAGTTAGAAAGGGAAGAACGTGCTCGGCATTTCTCAAGCTGTCAGAACTGAGGAAAAAATGTAAGCCTTGAGTTGCAATATTGAAAGATTCTATGGGCAAAATATTGAATGATGCAGGAAGTATCAAAAGAAGATGGAAAGAATACAGAGTCACTGTACCAGAAAGAACTGGTCAATCTTCATCCATTTCAGGAGGTGGCATATGTTCAAGAACCAGTGGTATTGAAGGAAGAAGTCGAAGCTGCACTGAAAGAACTGATGAAGAACAAGGCTCCAGGAATTGACTGAATACCCATTGAGATGTTTCAACAAATGGATGCCCCACTGGGGGCACTCACTTGGTTATGCCAAGAGATTTGGAAGACAGCTACATGGCCAACTGCCTGGAAGAGATCCATATTTGTACCCATTCCAAAGAAAGGTGATCCCATAGAATGTGGAAATTATCGAACAATATCATTAATACTGCATGCAAGTAAAATCTTACTGGAGGTAATTCAAAAACGATTGCAGCAGTATATTGACAGAGAACTTCCAGAAATGCAAGCTGGATGGATTCAGAAGAGGACATGGAATGAGGGATATCATTGCCGATGTCACATGGATCTTGGCTCAAAGCAAAGAATACCAGAAAGATGTTTACTTGCGTTTTATTGACTATACAAAAGCATTTGATTGTGTGGATCATAAAAAATTGTGGATAACATTGAGAAGAATGGGAATTCCAGAACACTTAATTGCACTTAGGAGGAACCTGGACATAGACCAAGAGGCTGTCGTTTAAATACAAAATGGAAACACTGCATGGTTTAAAATCAGGAAGGGAGTGTGTCAGGGTTGTATCCTTTCACCATACTTATTCAATTTATATGCTAAGCAGATAAACCTAGAAGCTGGACTGTATGAAGAAGAATGTGGCATCAGGATTGGAGGAAGAATCAGTAACAACCTGTGATACGCTGACAACACAACTTTGCTTGCTGAAAGTGATGATGACTTGAAGTACTTACTGAAGAAGATTGAAGACTACTGCCTGCAGTATGGGTTACATTCAATATAAAGAAAACAAAAACCCTCACAACTGGACCTATAAGCAGCATTACAATAAATGGACAAAAGATTGAAGTTGTCAAAGACTTCACATTGCTTGGTTCTACAATCGACACCAATGGAAGCAGCAATCAGGACATCAGATGATGTATAAAAAACCAAGAACCAAACCCACTGCCAATGAGTCCAGCGACCCCTCCTTGGGTTTCTGAGGTGGTAACACTACGGAAGTAGATTGCCCAGCCTTCCTTCCGAAGAGTGGCTGGTGGGCACATCGGCTGCAAAGAACCTCTTTCAAGTGCTGAAGAGTAAAAATGTCTCCTTGAGGACTAAGGTGTGCCTGACACAAGCCGTGATATTTTTAATCGCCTCATATGCATGTGAGAGCTGGACAACAAATAAGGAAGACCGAAGAAGAGTTGATGCTTTTGAGCTGTGGTGTTGGAGAAGAATGCTGAAAGTACCGTGGACTGCTAAAAGAACTAACAGGTCTGTCCTGGAGGATGTACAGCCAGAATGCTCCTTGGAGGTGAGAATGGCCAGACTTCATCTCACCTACTTTGGTCATGTTGTCAGAAGGGACCATTCCCTGGAGAAGGGTGTCATGCTTGGTAAGGTAGAGGGTTGACGAAAGAGGGGAAAGCCCTCAACGAGATGGATTGACACAGTGGCAGCAGCGATGGGCTCAAGCATAGCAAGAATCACGGAGCTGTCTCAGGACTGGGCGGTGTTTGGTTTTGCCGTGCATCGGGTTGCTATGAGTCGGAGGTGACTTGATGGCACCTGACAACAACAATAATTATGTGAGTCAAGGATACAATTTTGTTTTTTTTCTGTATAGATAATTAGTTGCCCTAACCCCATTTTTTAATAGCTCTTTCTCTTTTCCACAGTTGGCAGTGCTACCCCTGTGGCATATCACAGTTTCATTTATGTGTGGGTTTATTTCTGGACTCGTCTCTTCCATTGGTC